TGTCAATAATAGGGGTAAAGCAGTCAATATCGTTTTATAATCTTAATCACTATAGAACAAACTAATATGTCAACAAAGAAAAACAAAATGACATATAGAAAAAGCACATAAGCAAAAATGAAAGACAGGAATACAAAAAATTACCATAGAACAATAACACAATGGCGGGACGTATAAGTACCGCGCCAAGCCAAAAGGATATTGCCAAAAATGGACTAAACATTAAAGGTTAATAATTTACAAAGACACATAAAACAAAACTATAACACGTAATTGAGATGATAAACAACGTCAGTACCTACATTGTAGAATGTATACTTCAAGACCATCATGTATTATTTGTGAAGTTGATACGGAATATTTATCAACAAGGTCTTGTTATCTTCCGATGAACTTTTGTAAAAAAAAGGACGAGACGTTCTTTGACATATCCCCAACTTTCTGCTCAGACACTAGTGACGTTTTATAAAGTCTGAGTAGCAGCTGCAAGCTCTTGAACACCGAATGAGTTGAGAAATGTATATCCCATATACAGGTGAATTTGGTATATTGCTACTAAGGTGAGGGAAATTGATAATTTCAAATTAAAATCGTCTCGTTTGTCATAAATTATGGTACTGAGATGATCGCTTATGTCAAATTCAAGGTATAAGTCTAAAAATGAGGCAAATGAAACCATGTCTGTTGTTTCTTTAATTTCTAGTTCTGGAGGATATATTAATGGAACCCAATCGGAAAAGTTTGGAAGAACATCATCAATTAATATACATGATATATGTGAATGTGAAATTAAATGATCTGCCTTCTTTGATCTTCTTGCTTTTGACAAGTGTCTGAAAGAACTTCGACTCATATGAAAATAAGAAGAGGTCGGCAAGTAGAGGCACACAGTTCGTTCCCATTGGAATGTCGACAATTTGTTGAAAGTCTACCTTTAAATTCAACAAATATGTTGTCAATAAGAAATTCCAGCATACTGATCACTTAAACCACTGTGTAGCATGTTTTAGAATTTTTTGTTTTGTTTTCCATAGATAAAAACATACGTCAACGTTCATCATAGCTGTGCGATTTTCTTTAAATTTTCAAAATGGTTTACAGTATATGTATATTATTATGAAATTATGCGATACGTTAAAATCAGGGTTTAGGAGGTTGCACCTGGCATGAATGATTTCACACCTTTGATTTACTAAAAAGCTGTCATTTTAATAATTTGAAATTTTGAAATGTTTTAACCGTTAAAGTTAAAGACAAAATTGGTTACAAATATATTAGAAAACGTTTCTCGATTTATTTAAAAGGCGAGGCGTTCTTCACATGCAATGCATACAATGCTGGCTCGGAATTTTTTCCGAAGAGATGATAGGTAATGGAACAATGAACATATGAACATATGTGAAGAGTATTAAAGAAAATATCTGAATATCTGCTATTTGTAAAACGTCCAGTGGCAAACATTTCAATCCTTTTTTTTTTTATACTCTCTTAAAGTAGGAACAGACATATTATTACTGTGACAATTTTTTTTTCCGTTGAAACAGTTTCCCTTTACCGTTACAGCGTTTTTCGCGTTGACTGTTATACATTAACTGTTACAATGCTAAATAACGTTTAAATAGTTTCAGCAGTCAAACTATAAATATGACAACCTTTTCAACGTTTAACAGCTACTTTATGACTGTTGTTATCAAATAGTTCGTTTCTATATGTGTTGGCGTTTGTTTTTGTTGCACTTCGGTGTTCCTGTTGTTCCTTTGTTTTCTTCTTTTTCTTCTTATAGTTGATGTGTGTCCCTTGGTTTTGGTTTGTAACCCGGATTTGTTTTGATTTTGTTTTCTCTAAATCGATTTGTGACTGTTGAACACCGGTATACTACTGTTGCCTTTATTTACAACGTGTTTGAGTTGGGACAGTTATAAATAAACTGTTACGAAGTTGAAATAGTTGTTTCAGTCATAGTATTACTGTTACAACCTTTTTAAGCGTTGTTGTAGTCGATTTATGTTAGAGACAGCATTTTCAGAGTTGACACAGTTACAAACTAACTGCCACGGTAGGATTTAGCAACTGTTACAATTTTTACAGCTATCTTCAGTCACAAAACGACTATTACTAGTATGGATAATTGATTGTTTATAACAATATTGTGTGTTATTACTTAACCTTCGTTAAAATGTTAAATTTAAGAATCAAAAAGTGCTATTTATTTGGGATGTATAGATACGCAGCCTCTGTTTTAATTACTTAACCTTTATCAAATTTAATTTTTTTAGTATTATACCAGTTTGAATTGGTCAGTATTACTACGCAGTCTTTGCTGAAATAACTTAACGTTCGTCACCTGTGAAATTTTAGAATTGTACCAGTTCATATCACAAACTACTATTCTTTTAGATGTATATCTAAGCAATCTCTGTTGTAAATACCTTTCCTACGTCATTTTTGAAATTTTAGAATTATACAAGCGTTGTTCGGATTTTAATTGTAAATCGGAAAAGATTGTTTTAGTTAAATCATAATAGATTGATATCATGATTTAATTTACATCATCATAATCATACTGATGAAGAATATCTGTTATCCGAAACATAAGATATACTTACATTCACTGTTTCCTTTTTTAACATATGTGTTGGTTTGTACACTTTTTGTGTAATGTATGTTTTGTGTACAGATCATTTCAATGACTTTTTTTCAGAAACCCTTAAATGCCCTTTGCATTCTAGAAACAGAATAATTAGTTGCTGTTAGTTTTTTGTAACTTAAATTATTGGTAAACATGTGGGATATTTTCAGTTTCATGTTCAAAGTAAAGATTCGGTCTCCATCGTCTTTTTCTTCCGAACGGATTGCTAGGAGTAAATTTTCTGATAGGGGACAGTGCTTATCAGCTTTTTTATCATTCATTAAGGTTTTTCTCCCTATTCACTGTACATATAATCCGTTGATCTTATCAAATAGATGTTTCCCTTCGGTGGTAAAGCGTTTTTCTTTCTACCTTTTACTTATACTAAATTTGTATGACTGTCAAGACTACAGAGCATATTAGTATATAGTTTTTTATCAAACCACATTCAGTTTTCATGATGACGAATGATTTATTGATTGATTGTAAGATTTTAACATGAATTTCGGTACTCTTGGCTTTATCATGGTTGACAGTTTTCATGATTGGTGAAGACAACTTAAGTACCTAGAGAAAACTACCGACTTTCTTTAGTTATATATTACCGTATATCGGGATTTTTTCGCGTCGGCTTTTTTTCGCGATTTGATGACAAAATGCGCAGGTTAAATTTTCACAGTGTATAATTTTCGCTGAATGGGAAAATAAGCGCGAAAAAATAACTGTATCATATTGTTAAAGATGTAAACAACATAAACTTGATATTAACTAACAGGTAATGGAGTACAAAAACATATGACTACTAAAATTGAAAACACACATATTTCAGAGACCTTTCAAGGAACGTAGATTATGTACATGAAGGCATGCTAAAAATTGAAGGTTTTAATCACTACAGATAAACCAATATCCGTGCAATTGTGAATTATTAAGTCTCCCAAACGAAGTTTGGGAAGACTTATTGGTTTTGCTCGGTTATTCTTCTTCTTCTCCAAAACCGCTTGTCAGATTAACTTAGGGTTTCACAATATGTTAGACTAATATGTCTAGTGGTTGCAATCAGGGTTTTGTTTTTGCAATGGGGTTTATGAAGGGGTACTTTGAGGGGCATAAAGAAAGGAGGGATTTACTATAGAACCCTATGGGATTTTAATTTTTAAAATTTTCAAATGAATATAAATTGAAAACCGTTTGTGATAGACACAATATTTTTAATTGCAAATGTTCTAAATGATTAATCACATTAAATGAAATACAGGGTTAGTCCCCAGGGGTCACCCCCACCCCCTGCCATTTAAGAAAGTTCTAATATCTTGTAAGTGGTCGTGATCCCTAACCCTAAACCATATATGTTCTGGTTTGTCATACTAAGATGGATTGAATGATATAGAGGGTTAGTCCCCAGGGGTCATCCCAACCCCCTGCCATTTGAGAAAGGTCTTATATCTTGTAAATGGTCGAGATCCCCACTCCTAAACCATATATATTCCTGTTTGCCATGTCTCAAACATTTGAATGACGTATATGGTCAGTCCCCAGGGGTTCCCTCCACCCCTAATGTTATAGTATCTTGTAAATGGTCGAGATCCCCAACCCTAAACCATATATTCCTGTTCGTCATGTCTCGGACATTGGTATGACGTATAGGGTCCGTCCCAAGGGGTTTTCCCCACCCCACTGTTCTAGTATCTTGTAAATGGTTGAGATCCCCACCCCCAAACCATATATATTCTGGTTTGTCATGCCAAGATGATTTGAATGATATACAGGGTTAGTCCCCAGGCATCATTAATGCATATAACTTTACTGCACCAAACCAATTTTCACTGGACTTTGCCCAATGTCAGGCGACCCTGGGAGTTACGAATTATGGGAGCTTCGTTTGGGATACCTCGTAACAGCATCCTTCTACAATCATTTCCTGTTTTTATTTGATTTTTACATTTTATGCAAAATATTCTGAATATGGCACTGGTCAATAGATCGTGCCGAATTAACAATTTGACATGTCACTGATTGCTGTGTTGTCAAAAGGTGCGACATGTATCATTAGCCAATTTAATTATTAATTATTATGAAAACAGAGATCTCAATTAAGTATGCTCATTCTTGTGATCTGTCGAACAACACAAAAGATTCGGTAATTAATAGTATAATGATAATGTATGAAACTTTCAAACAACGATAAATCTTGAAATTTGCAGGGAAATTTACGCGGAGTCAAATTTACGCGTTATTTTAACAGCCGCGAACAAAGCGAAAATTAAACACACGCTAAAAAAACCCGATATTTATGTACATTTATCGTTGCATATATATACATGTGTGTGTGTGTGTGTGTGTGGAACAATTGAGGAAGAAGACTAATTACCTTGACATAGTTTCTTTTCCAAATCTTGTGTAAAATCAAACCAATAAGAAAAAAGCAAAGTATGACCACTATTCTTGTTTTTTTCATTGTAGTTATTGACGTTAAGTTTCAAAAACCATTCGTTTCCTTCAAATCAATCAAGCAAAACAAGAAAGTTTCAAATTAAAAAGTCCTCCATCTACACACCTACCCAAGCATACACTTTCATAGCTTTACGTTTGGAACGCGGTACGTTGAATATTTGATAGTGGTTTTCAATGTTATATTTATAGTAGCACTTACTAATGATCAATTAGGAACTTCCAGATGTAATACTCCACCAACTTTATTTCAGTGTTGATTTTCTATAAACCTATGCTTAACTTTAAATTTTCATTGAAATATGTCGTTTTAGCGTTTAAACAAACGTCATGAACGTTGATCATTTATAAGTTGTATGTCAATAACAATCCTGATTTACATCTTTTAAATTACAATTATGATGAATTCCATTTCGATTTATCGTAGCTGTATGCGCTTACATGTACAATATCAGTGTACTGTATTTCAAGTTACGTTTTTCTTGTTTTGTGATTGCTAAAAGATCTGCCAAAATGTATTCAGGGTACCATATTTCAAATTACGTTTTTATTGTTTTTCCAATTGCATTTAGATCTGTAAAAATGTTTTAATATTTTAATTATAACTCTCAAGGAAAAAAACAAGTTTGTGTATATTCTATGTATTATTTTTGTTCTACAAAATAATTGGTATTAACGAGCATGAAATGTACTTCCAACCGGTTACCAAGACTAGATCAACGGTGAACAAATTTCTCCCTGAGGATATTTAATTGTTCGTTGTCGGTTATAAAAGCACACAGCATCATACAAATTATAAACATTTTACTTTTGAATAACAGTTTTGATAAAGACATTTCAGGAAATTTAATAGATATATAAAGCATGTGCTCCTCAAGTATGCTTTTGATGCTATCAAGGATTAAAGAAAGCAATATAACATCGGTAAAAAGATCAATTTGGTTGAGTTCGTGATGCTCGGTCTTTGGTTTCTCTATGATTTGTGTTGGGTACTGTTGTTTATTTGTCTTTTAGTTTTATAAGTCAGTTGTGAGTTTGAATTTCCTTTTGGTATCCTTTGCCTCTCTTTTATATTGGATATCAAGACCAAACGCGGACAAAAACCACAGGTGCTCGGGCACAGAATTTGAATATTTATTTTGTCATTGTTAGCGCGCTGACTATTCAATTGTCTACTTTGGTACAACTTATTAATACTACTATGATTGTCTTCGTGAATTTAATCCCTTTCGGTACAATCCCTTATTGTACCATCCATAAATAAATATATAACAATGCAATAATCCAGAAACATTTATATTGTCTTTTTTATGCTATTCAATTGTCGTTCCGGTTATCGTAAAAGTAAGATTACGTTCCTATAATATTAGGACAAATGCAAAGCAAAATTAAGAAAGTACTTTATATTGTGTTTATTAGAATGAGAACGAAAAACAATAAACTAGGAGAAGCTGTACCTTAGACCTACATTGCTGGCAGTCATTTTAAAAACCTTGTTAACCCATTTTTAGAGTTATTTATCGATACAACATGGAGAATTAACAATCAATCAATCTATCAATTAATAATTTAATTTTGGATGTAACGCGTCTTTTGATTGGCTGACGTTGTTTTGTTTATCAGCTCATAGACATAATTTTGTTATGTGACCGTGACGTCATCAACGTTTTTTCAAAGTTTACTCAGGTTTAAAATGGAATTTAGAATTAAATTATAAGAAATGACTGTAATATTTTTTCTGTCTATTCGAAATAACATAAAAAATGTGGTGCACACTTTAAAATAACCCGCTCCGCGGGTTATTCAGTGTGCACCACATTTTTTATGTCATTTCTTCATAGACAGAAAAATAATTACAGTCATTCCTTAAACAGACCGAAGATGTACTTGGCATTAAACAAATGGATAATGGGTGTATACACATTTTATTCAGTGTATTACAAGTCTATTTTACCGCAATCATCTTGTATATTTAGCTTAAATATAATATCGGTGCTAGTTCCTCAGTATTAACATTGTCAGCGTAGGTTACCAAAGAACAGGTTCTCGTCTTTAATCTGTGTCAAACTGGACCAACACAAGATCTGTTTCTGCTTCATCTTGTATAAAGCTACAACTTTTAAATGTTGCAGATGACGCACTGTTTACATGCGTGATAATTGCATAAAATATTAATATCCGAAAACAGTGCATATCAATCATTTAATTACTTACATCCCAGCTCCTTTGTTCTATTAGGGGTGATATGAGCCGGATCACCTCTGCCAGATCACCCTAGCTTGAGTTTCTTTGTTCTGCATGCTTTCCTTAGTTCTGTAACATTTTGGCAGGAATGTCCAATCCACAATAAAACTTAGAAATATTTATACGGAAAAGACTTACTATCACAATTTGTGTATAAAAATCCAGTATCTATGCTGGGAATCGAACTCAAGACCTTTAGCATATAGACACACTAGTCATACCCCTACACCAGGACGATTGGATACAAACTCTCTGTTAATTAAACTTATTTAAACATTGTGTTCGGGGCTCATAAAGGGTATATACTATATAGTAATATATAAAGTATATTATAATGATTGTTTGGCGTTCTAAAATAGATTTTATGAAGCGTAAATGGGGGGTTATCTAATCTACAACAGCTGGGATGTAAAATAGTTATCACATTCGGACTTCGGCAATCGGGGTGATCTTACACTGACACACCAAGTCCGAATTGGGTAACTTTTACTGAAAATGTACTTTTGATATCGCTATAGACATGAATGAGAATATAAGTGATTAAAAAGTATATACATTGAACTCTTTACAGTTAGATGATGTTGCAGAGAACAGTTTGCGTCAGCTTGGAACTCCATTGTTTAACGTACTTCAACTTTTGAAAACATGCTCCGTTGTGTTATTGTATTTTTGGTGGAAAATACCTTTGTGTCTTTTTTTTTGAAGTAGAGATTTGCTGAAATGTTTGGTTGTGTGATTTTCTTGTTCAAGTGTCTACTTGAATAAGTTCTAGTGATCGACTTGCAATTAATGTGTGAATACTTTGTACAACATAAAAAGAGCACGACTCTGTACCATTTCGAATTAATTGGCTCTGCTGGACGTGAATTCCATTGACTACCACCATATTTAAAATAGGGTCTAACGATATATTGATAAGCAGGTTATTTGATTTCGCTGTTTGAAATTATTTACTAGAAAAAAAGCCAGTGGTTATTCCATTTAAAATTCGACTGTTATATTACAGCCAGGTATGTTGTTGGTGTTCTCAAATATGGTAATGCAAATGTATATTGGTTGCTTTTTTGATTGATGATATGAACCGTGCATTCGCCAAAAAGGAAGGCCTTGAACCAATCTGTTCAGAAACAGCGCCAATGTCTGCTTGTAACTTTTGTTTTGCCTTAAAGTTCTTGGCAAGTAATTTCACTGCAGACAATGCTATCGTCAGCCAAGAGTCCTACTTTGTTGTGTTTAAGATATTCTGGAAACGCATCGATGCATATTATAGGCCTAGGGCATTAATCATCAAATCCCTATGCCACGTTTCATCCAAATGCTGATGTGGTATTTTATTCTGTGGATTGATTATTAATTAGATCAACATTATATCGATTAATTTAAAGATGTTTCTAAATTTATCTGCGTCATTGATATCATACTCTGTATGGATGGTGTTACATGTTCTTATATCATTATTATTAGGTAATTTTGTATAAAATCCAAGCTTTCCTCTTTATATCTGAGTATTTTTCTAGATGTTTCCCTGCTTCTTTTCAACGAGACAGTCATTTCTGCATGAACAAAGTCGTGGTCTGCTGAGCCAATAGGAGTGTAATGAGTTTTTTGATACACATTGGGTTATTGACTGAGATTAAATCTAGTATTTCATCATTTCAGGTTGGTGTGTCTGTAGAATAGAGAATAGAAAAGGGAATTGTGTCAAAGAGACAACAAGCCGACCAAAGAGCAGTGGATCTTTAACACAGCAAGAACATCCCGCACTAGGAGGCGCTCTTCAGCTGGCTCTTAAACAATAATGTATACTAGATCATCAAAGTGGATGCCAAACTAAACTACGAAACAAATTAATCAAAATAAAAAAAAAGGATACGACTCACAAAGGCTACATATTCCCAAACTTGGTGCAGGCGCAAATATGCGGTGAGGTTAAACATGTTTTTTTTTTTTAAATCTCAACCCTCCCCTTATACCCTCTAGCCAATGTGGATAAACAAATAAACAGCAACACTCAGTTTAAAAGAAGTCCGAGTCCGATGTTCGAATAGATAAACTAAGCAAAATGACAATGATAAACATAAATCAACACAGGACTACTAGCAGGTACTGACATGCCTGCTACAGACCTCAATAAAACTGATCAACGATTATATCTTCATCTTATGAAAATTAACTACAATCCTTCCTGTTAGGGGTTTATTATAATGCCATGATAAATTAAACGAGCACAACATTATTGTGGATTGATATACATATGATTTGCAATTATATTTAGCAACGAAGTTCTGGTTTGGCTACTATTAAAGTTTGTATGTGTGTAGAGTTATAATATTAATTCCTAGTGATCGTTAAATAGATATTTAGGTTTCACATTCTCACAAACTCTTCAACATATAATATATTTAATGATAATATCACGGTTAATCATGTATGCATACCATTGTCTGTTCTGTAGCTCATATTACGTACCTGGTGATATTATGTTTAGTTAAAAGTAAGATTAGAAATACATTGTATGGTATGCCACCAGAACGGACTTAACACGCGTAATGCGGGGAAAATTAAGAGTAGAGATTTTTTTTTTCGAAAACAGTTTCGTGAGATATAATAATATTCTCATTGACGAATAAACTCTACACTGCCAAAACCTTTGTAAGTTACACCAGCAGTACTATATTTGACATAAAAGTCAGAAATCAAACAAACATTGCTCAAAGATGTGAATAAAGGAACAAAGGAAAAGACATTAATAATATCAATAATATTAATGCAGGAATAAACGATAAAACACAGACACGAGAC